TCTGTGCCAGGGAAACTCATGGAGAAGATTATCTTGAGTATCATCAAGCGGCACTTACAGGGCAAGCAGGCGATCAGGCCCTGTCAGCATGGGTTTATGGAAGGCAGGTCCTGCTTGACGAACCTGATCTCTTTCTATGACAAAGTGACGCGCTTGGTGGATGAAGGAAAGGCTGTGGATGTGGTCTACCTTGACTTCAGCAAGGCTCTTGATATTGTTTCCGACAGCATTCTCCTCAAGAATCTGTCTGGTCGTGGCTTGGACTGCCGTACGTTTCATTGGGTTAAAAATTGGCTGGATATCCGGGCCCAAAGAGTTGTGGTGAATGGAGCCAAATCCAGCTGGAGGCCGGTCACTAGTGGCGTTCCCCAGGGCTTGATACTGGGGCCGGTCCTCTTTAATATCTTCATCGATGATCTGGATGAGGGGATTGAGTGTACCCTCAGTAAGTTCACAGATGACACCAAGTTAGGTGCGTGTGTCAATCTGCTCGAGAGTAGGAAGGCTCTGTAGGAGGATCTGGATAGGCTGCACCGATGGGCTGAGGTCAACTGTATGAAATTCAAAAAGGCCAAGTGCCGGGTCCTGCACCTGAGGCACAATAACCCCAAGCAAAGCTACAGGCTGGGAGAGGAGTGGTTGGAAAGCTGCCAGGCAGAGAAGGACCTGGAAGTATTTCTGGATAGTCAGCTGAATATGAGCCAGCAGTGTGCTCAGGTGGCCAAGAAGGCCAACGACATCCTGGCTTGCATAAGAAGCAGTGTGGCCAGCAGGGCTAGGGAAGTGATCGTCCCCCTGTACACAGCTCTGGTGAGGCCGCACCTTGAGTACTGTGTTCAGTTTTGGGCCCCTCGCTACAAGAAGGACATCGAGGTGCTCGAAAGAGTCCAGAGAAGGGCAATGAAGCTGGTGAGGGGTCTGAAGAACAAGTCCTATGAGGAGTGGCTGAGAAAGTTTGTTCAGCCTGGAGATAAGGAGGCTCAGGGGTGACCTTATCGCTCTTTATAAGTACATTAAAGGAGGCTGTAGAGAGGTGGGGGTTGGTCTATTCTCCCACATGCCTAGTGACAGGACGAGAGGGAATGGGCTGAAGTTGCACCAGGGGTGTTTTAGGTTTGATATTAGGAAGAACTTCTTTGCTGAGTGTCATGAGGCATTGGAATGGGCTGCCCAGGGAAGTGGTGGAGTCACCATCCCTGGGGGTCTTTAAAAGACATTTAGATGTTGAACTTAGTGACATGGTTTAGTGGAGGACTTGTTAGTGTTAGGTCAGAGGTTGGACTCGACGATCTTGAGGTCTCTTCCAACCTAGGTAATTCTGTGATTCTGTGATTTCCAGTAGTACTTGATATAAACTACAGATTTTCAGATGTAACCTGTGTTATTTCTTTTGTCTACCTGTCTATATTTAGGAGTTTCAGTCTGATGTTTAGCTTTCCATGGTGATTTTTGCTCAAGTGCATGATACTGAAATACAGCAAGCTAATCACTTAATTAGATAACATTATTTAATTATTAAATAAATAATGATTGATTATACTTCCAGTGTCATAAAATAAAAACTGGTAGATTACACTTCAAAACCATAAGTTTCATGGGAAACCTGAAGGTAATTGGTAGAAACCAAGAACTATGTTGAACAAAGTCTACAAGAAACATGCAAGAAGCTCCATTTAAATAATCAAATTATTGATTTCTGATGGGTTTAAGATGCAGAACCATGCATGTATAGTTCCTTCATAGCTCATTATACTTTCAGCTAGAAGTGCATATACTAGAAATGTAGTAACCAAAAGAGATTTAATGCTTGCTCATTTTTTCATTAAAAATGAAAATTTTAAAGCTCAGTCCTTGAGTCACAGATAATAGTGGTTTGTTGTTGTTGTTTTGTTGTTGTTGTTCGTAATTTGAAAATGAAATGCTATTCATAATTCACTGATGTGTTGCATTAGGAGAATTACTATAAATTTGAAATGAAACACGGTTCATATGATTGCTTTGAAAATGTGAATCACAGTGAGAGGAACCCCTCTTCTGGTTGAAGAACAAAACACCAAGCAATAAATCACCATACAGCAAAAGGAGTTATCCCAAGCTATTATCAGACAAAGGACAGCAATAGCATGTTTAGGTACCAATTTAGGGACCCTTTAAAGAAGACACCTAAAATAAGTCTATTTGCATGTCTGCTTATTTACACTGACTGTAAAAGGACTCTAATGAGCCTCACCAAAATAGAAATCTACATCCTAGACATCTAAAATGGATAATAAAAGTGCTATCTAAGAAGTTTATTGGTACATGAAAAACTCCCACCTCCTACTCCCTAATTTATCTGTACACCCAACATGCTGTAGGATACATGCTTGTTTTATACTGAAGATCAAGTATGCCACTAATACATAACTGTTTCTGTCAACAGTTTCCAAAAAGGATTAATGTGGATATATTGAATAGAACAAGCCATATTTTAATCATTGGCATCTACATGTTCACATTTAAAGATGATTCTAACTTCCAGACTGCTATGGCTGCTATTGCTTCTAACAATTTGAACATTTTATTCCTGTGCTGCTTCAATTCTCTATTACACAGTTCCCTACTTTTTTCTTAATGGATTTTCTCAAACTTTTCTACCTCAAGGTAAATTCTTAAAATAGCAAAAAATAGTTTTTAATCACAATGCAATAATTTTGTTCTTGCTGCTTGAGTCACTTTGCTTTACCAAATCCCTTTTTTTCTTTCCTTTATCATTTTTTCCCATTAGGTCTAACAGTTCTGTCTTACTACACTTTAGCTTTTCCTGGAAGTTGACACTTTCAGGAAGCCTAGCAACATAAAACTTCCACCTTTTGTGTCTATTTCTGTTTAAATATCGACATTGTTTAGTGACACTGTGTCTTCCAGTCACCTAGTTTGTACAGCATGACTGAGAGGACTTTTCAGCAGGAAAGACTCTGCACAAGCTACGTTACAAATATTCCCGAGAAAAATTCGGAAAGCATAGGAGCATCCAAAAGGATCTTTAATCATTCTAAGATGAGCAGGAACAAAAAAAAAAATTAAAAAATTGTTTGCAATATGTCTTTTCTTTTTGGTATAATGCCATTGTGCAATGTGTTTTACCAGGATTATATATGCTTCAAGAAAGCATCTATGCATGCTTCTGTGCTTATGCCATGAAATTCGTTCCTATGGAAATGCAATTTAAAAAAAAAAGCAAACAAACAAAAACAAAACAAAAACAAAAACAAAAACAAAACAGTGTATAACTAAGAATGGGAAAACACATTCAGGCAAAAAAGTACCCAGCCTCCATCTCCATTCAGCAGTCGAAGTGAACTGTAGCTATTTTCAACCTTTATAGTAGCTTAATATATCTTTTTCTGTATCATTGATGTCTTTTAGCCACTTATATCCAATGCACACAGGCCCCAGCTCAGCTAGTTCAATGCATAATTTGGGCACAGCAGTTCCAGCAGCATCTCTGTAGAATCAGACTGAACTCAATTAGATTAAATTATCCTTGCTATTCTTTACCTTCCACTCATGCTGCCTTTTAATTTCTTGGCACAGAAACATTTTCTGTATTAGCTGCACCACTGACTGCACTACCTTCCTTCCAAACACTAAAACCTCAGTTGATGTATCGTTTCTGACAAGTACTCTGCACTCTGGGGATTAGCTGAATTGAAACCTTCAGATCAGGGGGGAATTAAAAATGAGCAACAGTAACTTCCAGCAGATTGTGTCTTGGGTCCTGATGCCTGAGCAGCTTCTGCTGGAGAAGAGAAGCTGTCCTCAGGCAAACCACTGGGGGAGATCATGTAAGGTAAGCTCCCTGAATGTTCACATGCATGCATATTTTCTGTTCTGGATATCACATTTTCTGTTACTGGCAGGGATTTTACTGTGTTGTAGGCGTTCTAAAGTTAGCGCCTTGGAACCAAAGAAAGAACTCTGCTTTTTAAAATTTCTGTCTCCAGTTAGGATAACAGACTTCTGAGTGACTGCACTGATTTGTGAGACAAAATCCATGGTTAAAAATAGATGTAGCATCTCTCAATAATTGAGATGTCTCATAGTTAGTAATTTGAAAACAACACCCAAAATGACCTCTTAAAGTAATACATTAAAAAATGATTGTGATTATAGGTGTTACAGGCAAGAAACAGTTCATGACAGATCCATGTATTCATCTTCCTCCCCCCCCTGTTCATTTAGTTACTATGAATTTAAGTATGATTGCAAAACATTCATAACTAAGGATGATTTTCTGTGTATAGAATGGATTTGAAAAGATTTAACCCTCTGTTCCCTGATAAGCCCATACAAGTGCTCACATTACACGTTGACTTCTTTGGAGAATAAACAGAACTCCCAAGACTGGATCTTTTAGAGGGATATGTGTTTGAGGATAGATGAAAAAAACAATGATGTTACCACTATCCAGAGCTTAAGAAAAGAGATTATTAAGATGACAAAGGCATAGTTCTCTTCAAAAAAAATGAAGTATAATATCTTCCTTTACTTACTATCCCATTATGACACAATTAAAAAGACAAGGGCTTTGCAAAGGATCAGTAAAAATCAAGCGAAGATCTACCCGGAAAAAAAAAATAGGCTGAAAATACTGGAAACGATAAGCTCTTGCTTTAAATGATAAATTGCTTGTATAGTAAGGGCCTGTATGCTTTCACTAAGAGGCAAAGCAAATCCTTTCACTCTGTCAACACACCATAAAGACTGTAACCACTTGGAAGGCTACATGGAGTAAAAATACATGTATTAATATAATATAAAAATTTCAAAAAAGTATGTTCCCATAACATGGGAACAACTTGGTTCAAGACCACGTTGCCATTATAACAACCAAAAGTACTGCATGATATAACAAGCTATGAAACAGTATGAGGGTATTATTATAAAATTCATTTTTTAATGAGACTTTCATTTTTATAAACATATATTAACTTTAGAAACCCATGCTGGTTTCTTACCTGTTATAGTTGCTTTGTTAATGGATGGTTGGTTACACATTGGTGACCGTCTAAAAAAAAATAAAGAAGAGTTATAAACCTGATTAACTCACAGGTGGTTGAATCCCTGAACAATATAATAGGAAACACTTTTCCTTTAGAAGTTATTTGGGACTGACACACACTAGCATAAACAAAGAAAGAGTTCTTTCAGCTATTTATATAACGCAGAAAGGAATTCACAACTGATGCTCAAATCTTTCTGCAGATTGGGAACTTCAGCAGGGATATCTATAAGTTTGTTAAAAACCTGCCTAATCATTGCTGGAGCTTGTACACAGCTTACAGTTTGGTCTATACACATAGTTTTTATTCTTACAAGAATACTCTCACTACCCACATTCTCTTATATGAGATAAATTCTTAAAGCAAAAATTAGTTTTAAGTTCATTTACTATGTTGCACATACATTTCACAATAATCTTTAGGGCAAACAGCACAGTGGAATCCTTTGCTCGATGATTTGCTGAACTGACACAGCTGCTTAGGGTTGTATGGATGAGAGAAGCAGGGGCTGAATATTCCAACCAAGGGTCCTGGAAATATCTTTCTACAGCATTGCGTATGCAATGATAGGCAGCTGTCTTTAGATACTGAAGTCTTCAGTGAGAAATTGATGCCCCATCCCTGAACAACCTGATCTAGTGGGTGGTGTCCCTACCTATGGCAGGGGGGTTGGAACTGGATGATCTTTGAGGTCCCTTCCAACCTGAGCCATTCTATGATTCTATGAAACTGCTATGGGAATGAGCTTCCATGAATACTAACTACTTCTAATTTCTGGAGACACACATTCTGGATAAGGAAAATTGCTTCATTACAAAACTTTACAGTTTAACTAATGTTAATGTTAGCTATGATTCTGTACCAGAATTGGAGAAAGGTCATATTTATAATGTCGCATTATAATCATGAACTACTGTGGATATGTTGGATAATTTCTAGCTCTGGATCATGCAAGCAGCTCACAGTGAGTGTAGCTGTATGCTCACTTTCATTCATTTGCACAACTCATACTCTTTGCCTGATGATCACTTCTGAATGATCTTTGGCATATGACTAATTTATTGAAAATCATAGAAATTGCACACACACACACACAAACCACTCAAAATTTATACAGGGATAGCAATGCAAACGCAGTTAGTAGGCAAGGGGGCTGCTGTCTCAGCTATTAAGTATAGTAGATTTAAGGGATTAATAAAGTCATTAGTCATCACGTTTTATACAAGCTTGGTGACACAAACTGAAATTTGTAACATCTAATTGTTATTCCTCGTTTACAATTTAAATATACTGCTGAAAAAAGTTGACACTCACTTGCTGGGTGCCCGATCTTGTAAATTGGTTAATGCAGCAAAGTTATTCCGTACAGTACGTAGGCTTGCCAGCACCTGAAACATACAAAATGGTTTCAGTCTAAATTTCTGCACAGGTGAGACTGAGTTAGCTGCAATCCACTGTGCTGAAAGAAAAATGAAAGGACATTGCAAAACATAAAAGGTTACCAGGGCTGGTTGTCTGAAGCTTTTGACCATTACTTAACAACGTCTGTAATACAAGGACAATAGTTTATTTATTTTTTCCATCATAACAACTCATTATTTGTTTAAAGACAAACTTACTTAAGAGGAGGAAAAGTTTTTCACATAATACTAAATTCTCTAAAATGACCATAAAAGCATTCGTGTTTGGACGATAATAACCCATTCAAACCTAATACTTCATACGTAAGATATGATTGCAGATTTTTCCATTTGCAGTTCAGCCCCCACAAAACTCAAAGGACAAAGGGAATGAGACTGTCTAGACTGGCAGGAAAAATAAAACGTGTCTCCTTTAAGGGATGAATTCATTTGGAGACAGTACAAGAGGACAGATAAAGAGGAAGGTATCACCTCAGCAGGTAGGAAATGCCTGTAGATACAAATCTACAAGCTCTACACACTGGTGAAGATGATTGAAATGGAGTACTCACTTTCTGGACTTATTTTTATGCAAGACAGCAGCTAGAGGAAGCAGCAAAGCGTCTTCTTTGTATAAGTGGCATAGGCGTTCCCCACTGAAGGAGGTTGGATAAATGCAACAAATTTTGCACTACATAAGGACAACAGGATACTTCTCTGACTATGGAGAGGCAGTTCAGCTGATGTCAGAGAGGGAACTATGAAATACTTAAAACCAGACTGCAAATGGGAGGAGGCAACAAAATTAATCACTGTGTCTTTGTGGTAGTTACCCACTACTCCTCAGCACAGATTATTCTCGTTCCCTGGTGAACTGGTGCTGGCATTTTAGACACTAACAAAGGTGGGAATGGGAATTTGGCTTTCAGAAGTCTAAGCCATGGAAGATATAACCCTCTTTCCACAGAACACTTGAATTTATACGTGAAGTAGAAAGGGGGTTGGAGAGAAATGAAGGAAAAACTCGTAATAAAAATATTCCAGAGATATTCATCACTGGAGGTATTCAAGCTATTATTGTAGGTAATTCCTAAATGTGTTGAGATAATAAATTTATTGCCTAATTAATTCCACTATATTTTTCTTTCAAGAGATTGGGAGGCAAAATCGCATATTCTACATTCAGAACTGAATTCAAATAATTATTTGTGCCATCAAATTTGCGTGCCCAGGTCATAGTGACAGTGACAAATGTTATATTTAGATGTTTGATATATGCAGATGGAAATGTGGCATGGAATGGAAGAAGGAGAAAGATGCTAGAGTTCAAAAGTTCAAAAATGAAGACATTAAATACAAAGGAAAACTGCTTCTTAGAATATTCTAAAAGCAAAGGATGAGTTGCAGGTGCACAGACAGGAAAGGAAAAATGTTGGGTCTGTTAAATAAACACGTTTTAGTGACTGCAGGCACTTGTTTTTCTTTGGTCAGTGTGCCTGGGTTCTGGTCTATGTGTGCCAAGATGCTGCAATTGCTTGTATGTACTAGTATTATTATGGGAAGCAGTGCACTAGATAAACATATCTATGTGGCTCTCAGAGATGTCTCAGGCCTTGGAAAAACAGTCAGTATTCCTGGTTGCAGGTTCTTCCTCAATAATCCCTGGTGGACTGAAATTATCTGCATATTCAAGGTGCACAGAGAACTGGGAGCAAGCACAACTGTAGCTACGTGACTTCAGTGAGCCATCTCAAACACATCCATGCCTACTAGCTCCCAGCCTCCGCTGGACTGAAATGAATGACTGTACCTGCTGCATGGGACTCAGTTTCAGAAAGGTTAGTGGGCTAGGCACAATCCCATGTGAAAACATAAACCTCATGGAAATGAGTTGCATCTGAACTAATATGATACTGAGCACTTGGGGTCCTGGAGGAAGGAGTGTGCAGAGCTGCTAGATTGCTCAGGGACAGTTATGAGTGGAAGCTAATGAGCCTAGATGGACCCACACTCAGGTCCCCAAAGAGATGTGAGGGAGTCTCAGTGCCATGCTCACCATTATTCACATTGTCTAGGCTTTTCCACAGTCTGAGACATTATGAATCCCTCTTTTTCTGGAAAGTGGAGACTGGACTATTCAGCTGTTAAGTCCTCCTATTTGTTCTTCTGTAAGGTTAGAAATCTGTTCTTCTGTAAGGTTAGGTCCAGGGATAAAATGGGCAGTATCTGCCCAGCATTCCTGCTACAATAGCATAGTGCATACATATTTTTACACATTCTGCAAAAGCAAGAGGACCCCAAATAAATATAAAAGATTGTCAGAATGACAACTAAAACTGGCCATTAGCTCCAGAATTCAGTGCAACCAAACAAATAGATTTATTGTGTCAGTGTAAATATCTATGCATCTATGATATTAAATATATTGAATGACAGTTTCTCTGTTTACAAGGCTCCCATTTGTGCTTAATGTTTCCAGAGTTAGATCTGTGAGCAAAAAAGCAACCAGTCTGCAAATCTCTTTGAGGTTTAATCCCTAAATAACTATATAATTTCAAAAATTAAGTTGTATACAGTCATTAGTGAACTTAAAAAAAAAATCAAACTTCTTTGATGATAAAAAAATTGGTCATTCAATTTCAAATCACTCAAACGATTTTATTTTGAAAGCTGAAATTCTAACAATTAATTATAGCAGTTTCTTTATATTATAACCCAGGGAAGCATAACTAATGTTATACTTAAGACAATTTTTGTATCTGGTTTACTGAATCTCATTTCTGGTAAAAATAGCAAATTGACTTGGGGGCAGATTCTGTGTGAGGGACACAGCATGCCGTGCTGCCTGCAGTAATGAATGCAGCCACAGTGCCATGGTAATGTGCTGAACAGTAATCGAAAAGCTAAAACTGGAGTTATTACCACCTGGTGGCTCACGATTGGATGAAACATCCTTCCTGATCAATGGAAGAAAATATGGATGTTTTCAAATAAATGGAGCATGCATTCCAATACCTGGTGTCACCAGGAAGCTTTGGCTGTTTACAACACAAAAATGCATCTACATGATGAAATATTGCTCTTACTAAGAAGAGGACATTAAAAAAATCTAAAAGCTGTTTTGTGTGATGTATAGACATTGTACTGGCATATGGGACACAATTCCTTAAGTCCTGTGTGTGATCCTAATGCTGCTAATGTATTTCAGAGGGGTGAGTCCTGTGTTTATCTGCAGATATAATTTGTGAACAGGCCCCACAAGGATAGGTTTTTGCATACTGAAATCATTCTTAGACAAGGACAAAGTTTTTCTGAAGAGTATAATTAGACATCATGTCCCCTCTGTTAGGCACCGTTTCTCAAGTGCTTATCAATTCCTCTTATGTTGGGGAATATGATGCGATAGCTGACCCTGCTCTCTTCCTTCTCTCCAACGCAAATGAAAACAGGTTGATTTAAACCACTGCTAACAGGGTTTTCCATCGAAACAGTAAAAAAAACTCACAAAATGTATTACAGTAACTCAGTGCGACTACTCCTGCTCCAATTGCTGAAGCATGTCTGTCTATGCCCACAGGAATACCAAGCTGCCCTTGACACAAATCGGGTATTTTCTACCAGGTGAAAAAAGCCTGGTGTAACACTTATTGGTTTTCTAGGTGTACTATAACTTGTCTCATCTATGTGGCATAATTTGTAATAAAATTTATAATAAAATTCAGATGAAAATGAACATAAACTCAACTGAAGTACTGGATTTTTTGACCATCATATAATTTGAATTTTTTCTCTGCTTAAGAGTTAGTGTTTTTATGTTTCCGGAGGAACTAATGGAACCCAGAAGTGGTTTTACCTTTTTGTTTGTTTGTTTGTTTGTTTGTATGGTAATTTCTTCTCTTTCTATTATTGAGGAATATTTACTATTTGGGAAGTCATAAAACATAGTTAGAAAAGGCCCAGACTCAATCTATTCTCTGCTAGTAAAGGATGAAGGTAATCTTCATATTAAGGTTTCAATCAACCAGTGTTATATATGAAGACACCATATCTGAACTGTAATGAAACTGAAATGAACTGAAAGGACACCACAATTTATTTTATCAGTTAAGTTACACTACAATTGCCTATATTCATTGTATGCAACAGAACTGTAAACAACCTGTGTATTTAGACTAAAGTTGGACACATTATTCATATTTGGAATTGTTGTGTATCTCAACATTTCTCTTTCCATTCACTTTCAATCACATATGACTTCCAGATTTATTTTTTCTGTACTTTCACTGAATTAACTTTCCTTTCTGTCTATTACAGGGTACCTATCATGAGTTCAAGGAATACCAACACATTTACTTTTCATACATGATGAGACAGCTCTGCTGCTAAAAATTGAAATCACTAGATTTGATCTAAATTACTAAGATTTTTTATTTGTTATTTTATAGAACATAAAATCTTAAAAGAAAAATCAAATAGATTTGATTTTGTAAAAGAACATAAGTATTCTGGGTAAAGCTTATCTTGCATCTAAAAATTTCCTTACATTGTATGCATAAAAAAAAAATCACAAGGCATTGTAATCGTAAACAGCAGTATAATAAGAGAAGAAAGGTTTGTCTTCATCATGACTGTCTGCTATGGTATTTGAACACCCTGCAAGCTAACATTTTTTTTGTGTTCTTGCACTTCAACTTTTCAGATAGTTGAAAAAACATTTAAAAAGATATAGAGCATACAGGTATACGTAATAGAGTCAAAGGTATATGGGTGTTTGTTTAGGGAGGTTTTTCCTGTTTCATGCAAACAAATCTTATGTAATATTAACAGTGGAAAAGAACTGTTTTGGCCTCCTGGACTTTAGGTTGCAAGATCATGTGAGAAATAAGGCAAAATTGTGCCTACCTGAGCAAATGGTGTCACAATCAAGTCATCTCCATGTCTGAAAAAATGAGCAGAGTTGTAAGTTAGATGTTAATGAAAGTCATCTCACTGCTACTAATTTTACAGAGAGAAAATGAGGTTTTACAGTGCGCTCTGGGTTACTCCAGGTTTACTCTTCAACAGTTACACTCTACCGTTGCTTCACAGATTCTTTTGAAAAGCAAATACCAAATTAGTTATTGCCCAATTACCTGTGTATCTATGGGACGGCTGATGAACCAACCAGTTTCTGCACAGCTTTCTGGACAGGTGACTGCATTGGGCAGACCTGCAGAGATTTCATCCCAAAGGACAAAAGGAGAACACTGAGAGTGATTACATTAAGGGTTGCTAGCAGGTTTGTGAGCAGGGGCCAGGCGAGTAACTGCAGATGACTGGGCAGTGCATCACAGACTAATAAAAACCTAGTAAAACTTTTGAACTGACTCACAATCATGTAGTTACAGGGGGTGTAACCAAGAGTGTGCTGTTGCTGTGGCAACCTCACCCACACCACTCTGGCTGACGTAGGGCAAGGTGTCGGGATGACGTGCTGTAGCAGAGAAGGGAGGCAGGAAAAGAGGGGTTTCTTCACTTCTGTGCTGAAACACTTGCACAGAGACGTTGGCTTATGCTGTGAAGTTATTCCCACTTGCCTCATGAATAAAATATTGAAGTTGCACACAACGTACCACGTGTAGTCACATGTAGGGCTAAAGGAACACTGGACAACTGCAGGAAGAAACTGATGGGGGACTGAAGCATGGGTATCTGCCCAGTTTCATCTGAACTGTGTGGGGAGGGAAAACTTGAGTTTTCAGTTATCATATCTAGTAGACGGCAGCAATCAAGATTAAAAGAAAAAGACAAGTTCCAAAGACAAAAATTGAATATGACTGTATTTTACTGAAGTGAATTTGCCATGATAATTTCTAAGTTGTATTTGGACTTGAAATCATTCAGCAGAAATACCATTGCTTTGGTGCTGTTTTCAGGTTATTTAAGCATGAACTATGAGCATTTAATAACACATTTTCAAATCAAGGTCTAAGGCATTTCATGATGTTTTCATGACCCTATGAAAATGAATAGAGCTCTTAAAACCAGCTGGTCATTAACTCCCTTGTTAATGCCCTGGGATGATTCATCATGTCTATAATAACCAATTGGATTTGGTTTCATGAGACAATTAAAGCTTCTAAGTTACTCCCATGGTGCTATGTTTCTTCTGGTTTAGTGTGAGGATCAGGTTTACACACTGTCCGGTCAAGTGGAAAGTTTTCACTGTATCCCAACCACTTCTGCATAAATATCATTTATTTAAGCATTCTGACAACAATGACTTCCTCAGGCAGCCAAGGAGGAAAATCCTCGACCTTCCCATCAGAAGTGGAACAGAATTTTTCTGCATTCCTGAAAAAGCAAAGACTAGGAAAACTGATGACTCTTCTTTGGAAATTAAAGGCGGTACACATGGCATTTAACACAGATTTTCATGGTAATGGAAAGATCAGACCTCTTCCTTTTTTGATCCTGACTGAAAGGAAAGAAAATTGTTACTTCTTATGGTCAGACTGATGTAGTCTTGGCAAGTGTGCCTTCACAGCAAAAGTGCATGCCACATCCTTTGGTAATAATTTACAAAATAAAAAGACTGTCATTTCTAATCAGCATTGCTTAATATGTTATATAGCTACACAAACAGTGGAAGAGTAAGTCATAAAGAAATTGTATAACAAAGGTTTCAAAGAAGATAAGCCTAATGCATCTTTTCCTTTTCTCTCATTCTTCATTTAAATAGCCATAAGGTAGATATGTACATTACCTCACTTCCATAAAAAATATATTCTTTGTCTTCAAGTTATGTGAAACAGTATAACCTGCTGTGTGACAGCTGTCTTATCTTTCCTCAGTAAAATAGATTGTTTTCCCTTTTAAAAAAGGTTTTTGCTATTTGTGTATTGGTTAGGATCTCCATTTTCTCTTCCCTTGTTTTTTTGACAAAGAGGCCCAGCTATGTAAAGCAAGGAATTACACCTTAGTTATCTGTATGGCTTCTGCAAAGATTGAACAGCCTAAAGCGTCAAATAAGTAATTTGTCAGTCTTCCTTCTACCCACTGTATCTATTACTCAGGTTGTTCAGGGCTGCAAAGACGGTGAAGCATCTGAGGGGAAGACGTATGAGCAGCAGCTGAGGTCCCTTGGTTTGTTCAGCCCAGAGCAGAGCAGGCTGAGGGGAGGCCTCAGGGTGGCCAGTAGCTCCCTCACGAGGGGAGCAGAGGGGCAGGTGCTGAGTTCTGCTCTCTGGCAATCAGTAATTCACTGACTAAGCATCAATTGGCAAAACTGTGAAAATAGAATGGTCCTTGTTTTCAACATCTGTTGTAGGCTTCCTTACTGGAAGTGGTATTTCATTGCTCTTCTTAATTCAATGGCCCTGTTTGCCATCCCTTGAATGTTGAAGCACTTCTGAGAGGCAATAAGTACACATTGCTGGACATTCTTCCATGTATTTCTTTTATATATGTATCAAATAGCTTCACTCCACTACTGTAAATTTCAAACATTATTCTACTTAAACTTTTGCAGAATAGCATTTCACTGGAGAATACTGATAAAATACTGTGGCTAATTAGAGGTGACATTATTAAATATTAATTTAATGCACTGGAACCAATCCAGGATTTCACTTTCATATTTCAAATACCCCTTCTGTCAAGAGTAACAGTTACAGAAATTGTCATTATTTGGGGAAGATGTATTGAAAGCACAGATATCCACAGTTTTCACAAAGTAGTTTAGCATGTGCCAGACAAACTTGGACAGAAAAACAATTGCATAGTGTATTGAGTAATCTTCAGTCCATACTGGGTGAGAAAATCTGGAAAAGGTGAGAGTGTTCAAAAAGGGAGTAGAAGTATCCAAACTGGCTGTGTTACTTTTTGTATAGAAGAGCAAGAACATATGATTTAATCAAGGTGCTATCGTTTTACAGTGTACTGAATCAGGACACTGCAACTTATGAATGTTGTACTATTTTCGCTTCTGATGATATAGAAGCTGATAGATGACTCTGTTTGGATTCTGGACAGGGTAGTGCCACACACCTATATACAGAGGCAACAAGAGGAGTGTAAATCCTGTGCAATGTATCACAGGCTTATAAATTCAGACAGAGTTGTTAACCTTTAAAGTTAGAATAAATTCTTCACATCACTGTTAAAACAGTTAACTAGAACGCCTGGCATAGTTGTTCATATGTTCACTTTTTAAAAGCAAGATAAATTTGAAAGTAGGATAATTTTTCACATAGCCAAAAATTTTAAATGATTGAATTAACCAACACAAAAACAAACAAACAAACAATCAAAAGGTTAAACAACATAACACTCCACACAAGTTGAATCAATGTTACACACAGTCCAAATTACCAATAGTAGACCAACGATTGTATAAAACATTGCAGGTTTTTCACCATGTTAAAGTGATGAAGCCTGTCCTCCTGTGTTTTTCTGGTTTTTGTTTCCTAACCTTTCCTACAGGACAGACTAGAACTTTCCCTGTATAACCTGTAATGGTCCCCACTCTGGAGAAGAGAAAAGAGTACCACGTTAAGTCAGAAGTTAGACGTGTATGTTCACATGAATGTTGCTGAACACTATGTACACAAATTCTGCCTTCCACTCCTCAAGACTGGCATTAGTTTGTTTCTTCTATCCCAATTACAGGACAGCAATTAACATGTCCATGGGTTAGAATTAAAGGGAGGGCTGGGTTAGGTGAATTTTGATGGGGGTCTCCTACAAGCCACCTGATCTAGGAGAACAAGCACATTAAGTCTTCTTAGACAGACATACAGGAGCAACCTCAAGTTTGCAGGCCCTGGGACTTCAACCACCCTGATATCTGTTGGATAGACAACATAACAGGGCACACACAATCCAGGAGGTTCCTGGAATACATTCACAATAACTTCCTTCTACAAGTGGAAGAGAGACTGCAGAGAGCCCAATGAAGGGCTGAAAAAATGATGAAGGAACCTGTCATATAAGGAGAGAATAAAAGAGCTAGGACTGTTTGCCCAAGCAAAGAGAAGGCTCAGAGGGGACCTTATCAGTGTATACGAAAAGAACAGAACCTTTCTTTTCAGTGGTGCCCACTGCCAGGACAAGAGGCAACAGACAAAAACTAGAACACAAGAGGTTCCCTCTGACCATCTGGAAGCAGTCTACTGTACACATTATGGAGCACTAGGACAGGTTGCCTGGGGAGGTTGTGGAATCTCCCTTCTTGGAGATCTTCAAAAGAGTCTAGATGTAGTACAAAACAACTTGCTCTAGGTGTCTAGGTGTCCCTGCTTGAGCAGGGGATGTTGGACTGGATGACCCCTAGAGATCCTTTCAAATAGAAATTATTCTGTGAATCTGTGAAATAAAATTGCTGTTAATCTTCATACAATTTATATAGTGTTAGTTATGAGAGTAGTGGAAAATAATGTTGACACCATATCGTTTTAAAACATGATCATACTGGTTTGCCACACTCTGTTTGAATGAAAAACTCACTCATCACCCAACGATACATACTGGCTGAGAATGCTGATCAATCTTTAAAGCCAACTAGCATAATCTGCATTGGATTCTTCAATTACAAACTTGGGACATAGTCTATTTGAAAGAATAAAGCTGACAACAGACTTTGAAAAGCCCTAGGAGACAGTGGCTGTCTGGCATCTTTGCAGCAAAGAGCTAAGGCTTTTGACACATGATGACAAGAATCAACTCCGTTTTCACACAGTTGCATTTTTATTTTTTTAATTATTATTCTCTCTAGAAATATATGAAACTTAACAGCAAGGGAAAATCCATACTGTTCACACACAAAATATGAAAGAATATGAAGATGAATGCAGTCTTCTACTTGAAGAAAATAAAAAGAAAACCAAAGTCCCTGAGAGGTCCATTATTCCAGGCAAAATAAAAGCTGGTTATAGTGGTTCTCCTTGGACTATCAGAAAA